TTTCAAGGAATAATTACAGTTACAATGTCGAGTCTATTTGTATTTGGCAAAATTAAAGAAAATGTGCTTTGTGAGTCTAAAGTTTCATATCTACCTTATATCTTATCATAACAAAGGAAAATTATAACTATCTAGTCTTCAAATACATCAAAGACCTCAGAACGATATATTACCTAAGTAAACAAGAAGTACATTGTAAGCAACTTGTAAATCTAGAAGGAAAGAGAAAGCTGGCTGCCTGGATAGTCATCCAAAGTTCTTCTGTAGCCTTGGGACATCCATCATCAGTCCATAGGCCTAGTCTCTGTCACTTTTCTTTGTGTCCTGTAGAATGTCTGGCAGTTTCTTCTATGAAGCAGGAACCTGAAGGACCATCTCGCCTTGCAAAGTTCAGTGGTCAAATTCCTATGAGTCCTGCTTGTCCAGTCCATACAACACTTTGTCAAGCAGTCCAGACAAGAAAAGTTTCTTTCCCAAATGGCTATTTTTGCCAAGAAGAATATAAATTCCATATGGAGAGTCTTTGATGCCCGTCCTCCTCTTAAGTAAATCAATCCTGCCAGGAGCAGACATGTCGCACTGTCCAAAAAGTCTAAGATTTTAAAACATTTTAAATGGCATATTCTGTAGATCTTTGAAGTGTTGGAAGATTATCTAGCTAATTGAATTATATCTATGTATATCTAGAAAAGTTAACATGACTATAAGTTTTACTATCATAGAAGACTAATTATTAATCTATATTAATTATTCATTATAATTTAAATGAGATAAACCAACATAATACCTTAAACAATAGAAGAAATATATATATATATAATAACAAAATTAACCTTACATTTTTATCAATAAACTAAAATCTATAACAATGTAAAGCATTTTAAACAAGTTGCTCTTTAAAAGTAGGTTCAACAATCCACCCTTTTATCATTTCATATCTATATCCTACATTTCCATATCATACTTGTCCATGAACAGTGAAGCCCCCAGGGAAATCAGAAGCTAATCGACAGTAGAGGTGGAGTTAGCGCTCTTCAGAGGAAACTAAGTATGAGAAAAGTTATGTATGATGCCCAGTTGCTTGTGTTCATAGTGCTATGATCACAGCAAGTGTTTTAAGACTGTCATGGACATTTACTGGCTTTGGTGAGCTTTGTGTTCAGCAAGATATTTAAAAGATTGAAAGTCCTTTACATTGTTAAGTGACAAAGACCACGTAAAGAGTGTCTATAGAGTGATATTGCATATTAGAGGATACAGGAGAATGTATAAGCAGAAGGAGAGGTGTATTTTCTGAACTAGAAGGAAAGTTGTCAAGATTTGTGTTGAGGCAGAGTTCCTAAGGAAAAATACTGAAACAAAGCTTAATTTTGTGGTAAAGAACTGGAAGACGCCGGGTGGTGGTGGAACAGCCAGGCGGTGGTGGGGCACAGCTGGGCAGTGGTGGCACACGCCTTTAATCCAAAGCACTCAGGAGGCAGCAGCAGGCAGATCTCTGTGAGTTCGAGGCCAGCCTGGTCTACCAAGTGAGTTCCAGGAAAGGCACAAAGCTACACAGAGAAACCCTGTCTCAAAAAACCAAACCAAAAAAAAAAAAAGAGCTGGAAGACTTAAATCCTCATTAGAACTTCACTGATAAAATTCTATAATAAAGCCATGTAAGTGAAGATAATTAAGTCTATTCTTCATGTGTGGAATTATGCTTCCAGATTAATATTTTCCCCTCTCTTTTGTGAAAAGGTATGCTACTAAGAGGAGGATTTGTACATTCCAGGATTTCAACAGCAGCCAGGTGTGTTGGATGAAGAGTCAACAGATTCTACTACAGCCACAGTGCCAACCCTGAGGCTCTCTGATGACTCAGGTCATAGTAAAAATGTTTAGTGTTTTATTTGTGTGTGTGTGTGTGTGTGTGTGTGTGTGTGTGTAAGTAATGATGATATGTTAGTGAGAATGCAGTCTTAATGTGATTATTCTTATGTACTCATACAAGTGCTTGCCTAAAAACATCAGGCCTTACTATCTATGAGGAGGGGATGGGGGTGAGATGGGGGCAGGTGGGGGGAGCAGGAGAAGGGGAGGGAGAGTGAACAGGAGTTGGTATGTAAAAGTAAAGAAAAAAGTTTTAATTAAAAAATAATAAAAATCATATCCCATCAGGTCCTTTCAGAGACTCCATTTTTTTTTTGAGACAGGGTTTCTCTGAGTTGTTTTGGTACCTGTCCTGGATCTTGCTCTGTAGACCAGGCTGGCCTCAAACTCACAGATATCTATCTGTCTCTGCCTCCCAAGTTCTGGAATTAAAGGCATGTGCCACCTCCTCCTGGCCCAGAGACTCCATTTTTATAACAACCTGCTGTATGACATTTATAGCTTAGAAAGGTATTGCTTCTGGATCATGTGGAAGTTCTAAAGAAATGCTGCACCACCAAATCATGAGTTCAGTACAAAGAGTGGCAGTGTGGAGAGATGGTGGACATCGTGATGGGAAATCTTTTCATGGAGTTGGGTCTGAATTAGAGAATGTATGGTTTATCGATATTTTCCCTCATTTAATAATGGTATTATGCTTACTGAAAAAGTGTGTCATTATATAAATATTGAAGTGTTAAAATTTATTATGGATGGGCAGTGGTGGCTCACTCCTTTAATCATAGCATTTTTGAGGCAGAGGCAGGCAGATCTCTGAGTTTGAGGCCAGCCTGGTCTACAGAATGAATTCAGGAACAGCCAAGGCTACACAGAGAAATCCTATCTTGAAATCTGCTCTCCCTATAAATGAGCAAAAAAAAACCCCACCCTATTATGTCATATTTTAAGGCTGTTATTCATTTTTACAAAAAATGAGTTTAGTATTGAATTATATATTGTTACAGAAGAATTAATATTAGAAAATACTACTGATAGTTTGTCGACATATGTGACCATTTTACTGAATACTCACATCATTCAGACCTCAAATTATACCAAGAAGCAGGCACTCTTACCATTTCATTACCTAATTCTCAACCTGAGATGAGTTAAGTAATAAGTGAATAGAGGATCATTGGATGTTTTTGTTCTGTCCCCATGGTCTTTCCTTACATTACCCAGCTTGGTGCATTTTCTCTGTTGTGAATCTGCTTTCTGTAAATTAGAGAATTTCCTTTTGGGAGGATATTTCTTAGATGAGGGGCACTGCATTCACTTACACTATTAAAGAAGCTCATGAACTTAGTAGTTTGAAAAGGCTTCTTAATATTGCCTCATTTGTATCCATAGTAGATAATTATTGTGGTAGTGGGGTCTTTCCAGTGGAGTTGTTGGCTGTCATGGTATAGAAGGTCTGGCTCTGTACGAGTCCCAAGTTATTGGTGCTGCTGGGTTGACCTTTTGGTGATGCGTGTGCCTCAAT